CGTTTGTGTAGCTCACTTCAAAGGAAGAGGTTTATATTTAGCAAATTCAGTTTTATATTATGCAAATAAGGGTGATAATTATATATTGTCTTCAGTAATAGCTTGCAGCTCGTGGGCACCTCTGTGGGGAGATGAGCACCCCACTTCTCTCCTGCAGCCACTCAGGAGGGAGACCCAGCCACAGGGTCCAGCAGGAAATTCTGGACTGTGGCTGAGGACAGGCAGAACCTCTGCCCCCAGCAATGGGGCTTGGAGAGGTGTTCAGGGACCAGACCATGCCTGCAGCTTGGGAGTGGGGGTGGGAATGGAGAAGCAGGTTTCCTGCATCCTCCTGCAGCCCAGCTCAGACCCGGTGTGCACTGTATGTGTGTTTTATGAATGTAAAATAAGCCTCATGCACGTAAGGGAGATGTTTACTGTAAACAGAGTGGGGTGGTAAACTCCTTTTTGGGGTCACTCAGTGTCTGCTGGGGGTAGGAAAGCCAAGCACTACTCTTAGTAAATACCTTTATAAGTCACTTTTTAAGTACCTTTTCATCCCAAGACCTTGGCTTGCTTTGCCATCCTCTCCCGTGTAGCTTGCATTATATCCCAGCTGACTTTTCCAAGGTCACTCAGCAAAGTAACAGCAGAGAATCCAGATTTAGCTCTGATTAAGGTGTTGGCCCAAGTGGTGCAGCCTGGCCCAACACCACGGGCTCGTCTCTGCCGGATGTCACTTGTCAGCAGTCGCTTGCAGCCCTCAAGGGACAGGCTGTGCCTGGGGCACAGTGGGGGTGGCTGCAAATCCCTGCTCTCTGCCTGTCCTTACTGGCATGTGATGTCTCAGTAAGCCAACCCCGAGCTCGGGAGCCTCAGCAGCAGTTTTGGGGCTGACCATGTCCTAGGGACATGGTTTAGTGGTGGCCTTGGCAGTGCTGTGTTAACGGTTGGACTCGATGATCTCAAAGGTCTTTTCCAACCCCAGTGGTTCTGTGCTTCTCTGTGCCTGGAAACCAAAGTGCAAACGCCTCAGAGCTTGCAAATCACTTTTGAGAAAGACCAATTGAATTTGTTCCAGAGATCCAGATTAACAAATCCTCTGGCAGATTGAATCTCACAGAGGAAGTGGGGGCGGGGGGATGCTTGGTTTTGGGTTTTGTTTTTTGTTCAAAGCAAGAGAAACTAAGTGACATTTCAGCTGTGGGATTGCAAAGCTCTTTGGGGCCAGGAGCTGTTCCTGTCCCACGTTCAGTCACGAATTAAACTCCTGCTCTGATCCACCCCTAAAACCTAGGCAGATCCAGCAGTCAGCCCTCAGAGCACCTGAAAACAGATTCCTGAGGCTGGTCAGGATCTGGACAACCCTGGCAAAACCCCTTCAGACCAGCTCTGCTGGTGCTGAGAAAATGGGGCTGTACCAGGGCTGAAGTGCTGGTTTATCATAAGTTTGCCCAGGAGTCCCATAGCATCACTCCCACATCCTCCCCCTGCAAAAGGCATCAGGGTCCTGCCTGCACTAATTGGTCTTCATTAGCCCGACCAGCAACATCTGTATCCTCCTCCCACACCCTCTCCACCTTCTTTGATCCCCAGCTGCATTTAAGCCCTGCTCCTTGCCCAGGTTAGTCTTTGCTCTGTCTCACTGCTGCTTTCTGCCCTCCTGGGTCGACTTTGGATCTGCCTGGCTGCTTTAGTCACCAACAACGTGGGTGTAAAACCAGGTGAGAAACCCTCCTTTTGGGGCCAGGTTTAATGGCCCTTAGCCAGTGCTGGGGATAACACAGCTTAGCCTGGAGATGGCAAATGGGAGCTGAGGAGGCAGCTGGCACCAGAGCGTGCTCTGACAGCTCCCTTTGCCCTGCAGGAATTCAGCAAGATGCAGCTTGTCCCTGCTCTTTATCCTGGTGGCAAATCTCTGGCTGGTGAGCGGCTGCAGGTGGTTTGTGTGTGTGCTGGCCCTTGCCCTCCTGACTGCCACCAACCCCCTGGTCCCTGGCTGTGGCTGTCCCAGAGCCTGTGCTTTGTGCAGTAGGTGCAGTGCCAAGAAGGGCAGCATTCCCTGAGGCAACAGGGATGGCTCTGGAGATGAGTCTGAGGAAGACATGCTTGCGTAAACTCATGCTGGAGGTGGCTTTGGCTGACCTGGTGTGACACCAAGACCTGCCACATTGACCTGCTCTGCCCTGGGAGTGGGCAGAGAGAGGGACAGATGGAGGCCCTCGATAGGAACCTGGCTGAGGTTATTGAGAATACCTGGAAGCTGCTGGTGCTTTTTTTTCCAGTGATTTCCCTCATTCGTGAAGGTGAGGAGGGTGATCTGTTCCCAGGAAAGTGGGTCTTTTGAAGAAGTGGAGTTGGCTTGTCATTAACTGCAGGAAAACTGCAGTAGGTGAGGATGTGGCAGAGGGAGGGGACACTGGGCTGTGTTAGAATCCAACTCTGCTGCATCCCATCTCTTCCATGGATTGTCACTGGGGGCCCTGAGCAGTGGCTGGAGGTGGTTTCCTCTAACAAGCCCTTAATTGTCATTTAGTTGGCTTTTATTAATAAGGAATAAGGGACTTAATAGGAGAAGGATCAAGAGGAGTGTTTCCTTGTGTCTGGCTGCTGGATCCTGGGAGCAGGTGGAGGAAGTTGTGGGGGGTTGAAGCAGCCAATACTTGTGGAGCATGGTTTTTAGGAAGCCAGCAGGATTTTGGGCTCCAGCTTGCCAGCTTTGGCTGTTTAGCTCCCAGCAGATGCTCTGCCATCCCAGCCAGGCCTTGCTCAGATCTCCTGTCCAAGGACAGCTTCTCCAAGGAAGGTGTGGGTGATGCCTAGAAGTCACAACAGGGTAGGAAAGGCAATCCAGCAATTTAGTGTCCACACTCAGGCTCTTCCTGCCCACACCCGGAGGGATCAGGATGTTCAGCTTTGTGATTTCTGGAAAAGGAAAGGCAGGAGCTCTTCATCCCACTGGGAAGTGTAGATCACTGTGTGCCTTAAGGGTTGTGTTATCTGGGTTGTGTGTGGAAACAGCAAAATGTGGCCTTGAGCCTTTGTTTTTTGGGCAAATTCCCTTTGGTTTGGCAAATATGATCATCCACTTCTTACTTTTTACATGTTTCTCTGCATTCAAATTTTAGATGAAAACCCACTGGAACACTGGGATGAGGGTTGCCATTTGTTGGGTGTTTCCTAGCCCCTTAGTGCCTAAATCTGCCTGCTTTTCTGAGACATGTTGAACTCAGGGCCCAGATTAAAGGCCTGTCTCCTTGCTTGGTTGCCCAAATGGTTTTCCTCATTTTTAGCCACTGTCATTTGAATTCATCAAGATCACTGGTGCATGTTTTCCTGCCTGTGCTGAAGGACCTGCTGCCCAGATTGCCCTGAGCTCAAGGATTTTTTTGGTGACACAGAGACCAGCAGAGCTCTCAGCTCACTGAGGGTCTGTTTGAGACACATAAAACTTGAGGACTCCTTGCACTTCAGTCTGATGATGGACTTGTAGCAGACTCCCATCTGCTGAGGTCTGGGGAACCCCTGGGGATAGGTTGCTAATAGGAAATATTGCCAGAAGGTCAAATATCTTTTAGATGAGCCTTTGCTCATCTGTTACACCACAGTCTGAAGGCAATCACTAGAGCACTGCAGCTCCTTTACTGTGGTTTGGAGAAACCAAAGTGTTTCTCCAGCCCTGGAAGCGAGAGGGTACATGGGGGTTCTCTGCCTATCAGAAGGTTGGGTTAAACCTTCAGTAACTGCCTCAAAACCAGATCTAGGTGGAAGGACACAGCTAAGGTCCTTGTTTCCCAAACAAGTTAGTAAGCTGGGTGGAAAACATCTGCATGTTTCCTGTCTGCAGAGAGACCTGGGTTGATTACTTTGTGCCAAGTGAGGGTGGGTGGGTCAGTGACAAACTGACCTTCGTTTTTATGTGAGAGCCTGAGGCAGAGCAGAAGAGGGGATGGAGGTGTTGTGCAAGATGCACGTGTGGCTGTGGTAAGGCCTCTGCATAGCTGGGTTTTACCCTCCCACATGTGTGTGGAGAAGGGAAATGCAGCCACAGCTTCCACTGCTTTTTGCCGGAGCCCCAGGCCAAGCAGTCAGATGCTGAGAGGTGCCTCACACTGCTAAAACCCTTTCCTATCTTTAATGTCAATTACGGTTTCCTCTTTGTGCACAGACATGAGCAGGCAGGCCAGAAAACCAAATTATTAGTTATATTCCAGGGAAAACTGGCAGGGGCAATGCTGGGGTGACTAATGGGAGTGTTGAGGGGAGGTGAGCACCAGCCCCAGGGAGCCAGGTGGCCCCTGGACACAGTGTGGGGGCCAAGGGGGAGTCTGAGCCTCTCTTTACACAGGAGGCTGTGGAATCACTTCTTTCATGCCTTTTCCAACAAAGAAAAGGCTAATAAAGGAGTTTTTAAGTCCTTCTGCTGCAGCTCGGATGCATGCACTACTTACTTTGTGGCTATCAGAAAATCTCTGATGTTTTATTACTCATCTCTCTCCCAAGCACCTGGCAAAGCCACCTGGAGAATTTATTTCCCCCAGTTGCTTCTGGCAGTAGAAGGGACCAAATCCTGCCATGGGCAGGTAGTAAGTTCCTTGGGTGGTTTTGTGGTGCCATTCACCTCCTGCCTTGGTGGCGGTCCAGAGTCAAGTAGGGGTTTAGCAAATGAAAGTTGACAGAAAAAACCAAAATCCTCTTCCTTTCTTAGCTACTCACATTTAATGGTTTTATCAGTGTTCTACTTGCTTGTGGTTGTCAGTGGAAATGGTTAAGATAAATGTGGAAGTTTACATTCTTCTGTATAGCAGATCAGAAACAAGCTCCAGTTCTGCCTTTGTCTCTGAAAGTAGCCTGGGAGGACTCCAAAATCTCATTGGATTCTCCTTTTGGCAAACCATTGTTAAAAATGAATTGGAGCCAGAAGCAGGTACCTAATTTCCACACTTCTTCCCCCATACTGCAGTATCTGTGTGTGAGGTGGTGCAGGGAAAGCAGGAGGCCGCAGACCGGCCTTCAAACTCTTCAAACCCATTGCAGAATTTTTATTGAAAAAAGATAAATAATCACAGCATCTCAACTGTTATTCAAACACATTTAATAAACAAAGAGAAACAGTAGCAAAGGGCACTGACATGTGACAAACTGTACAAAACCTCCGGGGAGGAGCCCACGGCCCGGCTGCTCCGGCCCCCACCCCGCAGCCAACCAGGCCCCCTTCGCCTCAGCCCACTCAGTCACCCCTGAGAAAAATCGATTTTTTTTTAAAAATGTGCAGAAACAAAGACACTTCAAGAGGTTATTTCCAGTCTTGCCACAATGGAACAATTTAGGCCACTGGGAAAGTTTAAAGAAAACCAAAGTGTCATACACTCCATTCCCAGGATTAGCGCTTTAAAGTGAACCTTCCCAAGAGGCACAAACACTCTTGGACAGCCAGTAGATCTACCCCTGCTTACCTACTCTACTCACCACAACATGCTACACCTTTTTTTAGAGTGAATGGGACAAATTTTATCCTAATTCAGCACTAGTTTTGATATAGTTGTGACTGAGTGAAAGGCAATGGACGGAAAAGCCCTATTTGAGCACAGAAGGGATGCAACTGGTGCATAATGCTGAGACCAGCCCTGGTCTCAAGGTAAAGGTGACCTAGCATAGTCAGGGAAGGAGAAATCCTCCACTGGGAATGTACCTACTCTGGATGGACTTCATGCCTGGTCCTAAACACCGCCCAAGAACTCCAATGTCCAGTACCAATGATTGGTTTTCTACTGTAAACTTGTTCTGTCAAACTTAAAAAGACCCAGAGAGTCTGTGGTCCCCTGGCACCTCCTCCCTGCTGAAAGAGGAAGGGAAAACCAAGATGCAACTCTGATGGTCTTTCTTGTGCATGTCAGTTCAACAGCTGTGCCATTCACCTGGTAACTTTTGGCTCTCTGTGGCTCAGAGGGGACAGCAATGGCATCACTCTGCATCAGGCAATCCTCTGCTGGGCTTCACCGAGGTGCTCAGGTGGCAGCAATGTGACAAAAGCATCTTGACCAGTTCCTGTTGCCTTTAGTTTGATATTTCTTGACCAGTTCCCAGAAACTCCCTCCTCTAAAGAAGGGGAAGAAGACAGATGAGAGTGTTAAAGGGCTTTTTAGGCCGCTAACTTGCATACGTGTGCTTCTTGATTTCTTAGCTGTGAGCACAATGACTGAGGCTACAAGATGCACATAGAGGAGAGAGATCTATACACATCACAGTGTTGTCCAGGCCCAGCCAAGGTGTGGTCTGATCACACCAACACAAGGTCACCACGTTATAAACAGGGAAGGTGGAGGGCAGAAGAGCTGGGCTCTCCAGTGTGATGACAAACCAGCCGCGATTCCACAGCCCCTAACTGACACAATGTGAATCCAAAGACATTTGGTACAGCCTGTTGTGACCAGGACTAATTAGCACAGACAATTAACCAGTCTGTCTTGAGAATGGGGCAAAGGCTCCACCGGAGGAGGTACATTGGCAAAGCAGGATGGAGAGGACAGGCAAGAGAGAAGGACTGAAGAGAGGCAGAGCACAGCGGTGCCACTCGGTGTCTTTGCTGCACGACTTGGTCACTGAACTGGTTGTTGGTAATGCTGCTGCAAGGCCTCATCAACAACAAGTGGTAAGATGGGAAACCTGCCTGATTCTATCTCAAAACTTTCAGGAGACAACAGGTAGCTGAAGGCCTCCAGAAAGGGGCCCAACTCCTCAGTCCAGGTGAGGAATTTTCTGATTCCTTATCGAGAAACATCTGCTCCGAGCTTATCAATGTCTGTGAATTCCAGCATCTCTGAAGCTTTGCTGTAATGTCAGTTTGGGACTTGACTGAAAATGACCCAAGTGCCAGGACACCTGGGCTACAAAGAACAAAGCCAGGATGAAAGGGGAAGAACATGCAGCAAATTCCTATGAAATTCCATTTACCAGACTAGGAGGAACATGCCCTTGGTTAGGGGGGTGGCACAGAGAGGAACCAGTGACTGCAGTTTGGCTAAGATTAGAATTCAAGAGAGGCACAAACGAACATTTTGCACATCCATCCAAGGCATTCCAAAACAAAAAAAAAAAAAAAAGAAAACAGAAAGAAAAGTCACAGAAATTGACACATCACTTTGGACAAGAAACAATACAACAGTTTGGCAACTTTTCACCAAATTCCCCCACCCCAGCTCTGTGATGTCCCTCTGTAATTTGAGGTGATCTCTTAAAGGTGGGGATGTGAGGGGGCTGCAGATAATAGGGGATCTCCTCCACAAAGGATCTCGAGGGGTCAAACCAACCTACCTGCCTGCTACAGTACAAAAGAAATTCTGCCTGAAGCCCTCCCTGATGAGAGGGAAGGAGACAGAGCCCACGCTGCTGGAGACAAACAAGGCAAAGCTGAACTTGGCAGCAACAAGTCCCTAAACCTCGTGACTTCGCACCAGGCTAAGATATGGCCCTAGTAGGGTATTGGAGGGGAAGATGTCACCCCTCTTCCTCTGTAGAGAAGTGTAAAGGACAGCTATCACTATTTTGGGTGAACACAGGCCTCTTTGTTTGCATGCAAAGTAATGGGCTTTGGAAAATGCCAGGAGCCCACGTGTAATAGTGTTAACAGTGAGACCTGTGGCAGATGCACACACCTCTCCCCTCCCTTTAGATCTAAACTCAGCTCTTAGGAGTTGAACAAGGAACAAATACAAAGCAAGGATGGAAAAGTCTGTGTGGGTTTTTTTAGGAGTGGTTGTTTTGTTCCTCCTTTTAAAGCCCTGTTCATCTGATTAGGGGAGGAAGGGGGAGCATTGCAAGGTCCCTGCACTTTTCTGGTGGCAGACCTGGGTGCAAGAAATGGCACAGCTCAAATACAGATCCTCCCACCCACACCAGCCTGTGGAAGGTGGGACTGATTACAAGGGCCTGAGGACCTGAGCAACCTCCACAAAGGCTCTGACTGGGAATCCGGCCCAGCCATTGTTGGAAAAATTCAATACAGCGCTGGCCAAGAAAATAAAACAAATACTTGTGGAAAGGACCATCCAACTGGAAGAGTCTCTCCCTTCCTCGGTCTCCGGGGTAAGAGGGAAGCCTTTGGTTATGACCAGAATTATTTGCCACTGGCAGGACAGGCTCGGCTTTGCTTTGCATTAGCTTGGTTACTGTACAAGGGCCGGTTGCTCTGTGGAGAGATGCTCTGCCCAGCTGGACTGCCCTGTGACATCCGGGAGTTTGAACGGAGTGGACACTTGAATTACATCCGGGATCCTCGCTCCTGAAGAATCTGGAACAGGAGAGACCTTCTGTGAAAACCTCAGACAACTTTAGATGCAAAAGTTCACGTTCAGAGTCCTTGTTTTTTGCAGGGAAAGGAAACATGGACTGATGTGAGAGGAGCTTGCTGGCTTTTGTGCCACCACAATGACTGACAGGCTGGCTAAAGTTGAGGGAGCCCCTTTTCTAAAAATCCTGCTCAGCTGCCTGCCAGGAGTTAAGGATGTCACCTTTTGTTTCTATCCTGGGGAAAAAAATTTGCATTCATAGCATAGTTTGGGTTGGAAGGGACATTAAAGCTCATCTTGTTCCACCCCCCTGCCATGGGCAGGGACACCTTCCACTAGACCAAGTTGCTCCAAGCCCCATCCAATCTGGCCTTGGACACTTCCAGGAAGGAGAGGATTGAAAAAGAACAAAAACCTTGTTTCTCCCTGCAGCATCCTTCTACCACAAAATGTGACCGACTTCAAAGCTCTTTGCTACTCTGTCCTCCTTTTCCAAGTTTCTCTTTCCTCCATTTTTTTTGGTCTTAATTTGAAGTGTACAAAGATCCTCAGCTCCTTTCCTACAGTAAAATGTGAAATCTTCCAAGAGAGGATGATGCAGGAGGAAACAGGACAGCTGGTACACAGAAGTGCTGCTGCAGATTATGGATCTGCTGGTGCAGGAAGGGTTTTTCTTTCACAGGGGAATTCAAGTCGATACACCTGAGCAGGTGCCTTACCTTGGCCTTCTCACTTGGCTCCTTGACAATGCCATTGGTAGAATTGTTGAGCTCCCTGGACACAACACAGAGGAATTCTGCCTGGTCTTCGTTTCCATAGTTATAGGAAGATCCAATGCTGATCAGCTGTGCAACAGGAGACAGCCAAGGTAACTGTCAGTAAATCTTTTAACTGGTAAATAGGCAACTTTTAACTAGGTAACTATAAGTAAGACTTTTGCTTTATAGAATTGCTCTGTGAGGTAGGACTGTCCCGGGAGATCTCTTCTGGACCTGCAGTTCCCTGCAGCTTCCCTGTGTGTAAGGCAGGGATACAGCTGAGCTCCATGGCCCTCTAGTGGCACCTGGAGCCCCACGGAGGAATTCCAGCCTGAAACTAATGCTGGACACAGCAGAACATTGGCCAGTTTCTGAGGGTGGAAAAAGGAAAAACATATTGTGCAACACATAATATCCAGCTCACTCAGATGTGGGCAGGCAGTGCAGGTTGCCTGGTCCACACTGAACTCAGCTCTCAACCTGCCTGGTGACTCTAATGTGGAGATGGGAATTCTTTACCTCAAGCAGATGTTGGATTAACTGGGGACATGTGGTAAACCAACACCATCCTTTATATAGATGCTGTCAAGATGGAGCTTGGTATCTGTGTAAATGGGATTATATTCTATTACTGTTGTGTTGAGGGTGTCTGGACTCAATCCAAGAAATCCCATCTGTCTCATTTATCATTATTACATTAAAAGAACATCCCAGAGTGCAGAGCTAATTTGTCATTTACAACTCAGTTCTGCTTTCCAGAGAATAAATCTAAGTCATCTGAAGGAAGCAACATGAGTCTTATAAAATGTGTGTATCCAGGAAACTTTAGTGTGCAGTGTGCACCCCAAATTCCATGTCCTAATGGATTTTAGAACAGCCAGCTCTGTATTTATATATAAACAGATGCAGTCAACAGCCTTCCTAGAGAGATCAGCATCTGTATGGTTACAGTGCAGCTGCAGGAAGACTTGGGGGGCTGTTCTGCTGATTGGCCTCCAGTGTTTTTAACAGGTTCTGATGTTTGTGCCAAAGGCAAAACATAGACACAGGATAAGAAAAGGTATTTTGCTTCCCTGCTCCCTGTCTTTATTTAAGCTCTTGGATATTTCAACACCACAAGCCACTATTTACTCAACAAATTTTGTGAAGATGGCAATTTTCCAGAGTACTGAACTGCAGGTGGGCAGGAGAAAAGATTTTGATTTTAAAATGGCAAATTTCTATTCCATCCTTAATGTAAGCAAGACTGAACGGTACATGGCAGAGAACCTGTCTCTTCTTAGAATCCAAGCATGACAGACAACAGGCTGTAACAGCTTCTACCACTTCTGGTTTTCCTGCAGGTTTCTGAACCAGATCTTTGGGTGTTTTAAAGTGACTGGACCCAAAGAGCCCGTGCAGGGAATGCCTGCTCTGTTCAATCCCTGGCATCCAGGCTGGGATTTAGCAACAGGCTCTCTGTCCCCAGTCTGTAGATCTGTTGCACTCTTTCCTAACATGTCTCTGCCTGCCAAGTGCTGTGGTTTGGGGAGGGGAGAAGCTGTGCTGGGTTGCACATCTGGGGAAAGGCTCTGGCAGCAGGCTGCAGGCCCAGGCTTCCAGCAGGGCCCAGTTCAGCATGGGACATATCCCAGGCTGCACCACTTCCCTGTCCCTGCTCTGTGACCCAGTCTGGGCCCTCTCACAGCTCTGTGAGCCCTGACCAAAGTACTGTGTCTGTCCTGTTCAGGCTGCTGCCCTTGCAGGGGGCTGAGCTGGATGCAAGTCCTGGGGAGGGCAAGAGCAGCTCCCGATGGTGGGAGTGTGCTGGAGTGGGAGGTGCAGGAAATGATCCTGGTGCCTGTGGTGGACAGGAAGGGATCTCAGTGGTTTGTGCAAAGGTTGTGGATGGAAGAGGGAGAGAACTGGAAGGAACACACCAGCATTTGCCTGTAATGGGTATCTTTTCCTTGAAAAGGAAGATTAGGAGAGATCTGAGGGTGCAGATTCCCATGAAGGGCACTGCCTGCAGCCCCAAGGTTTTGGGGGTGTATACATGGATGTGTGAAAGGCGAATTCTGGTAAGTAAATTGTTGGGCAGCAAAACCTGGGTGCTGGAGAACTGCATTTCCATGGAGCAGTGAGTGGCTCTTGGTCACAAGGTTTCACTGCTGGCTCACAGGGACAGGTTTTTGGCTGCCTCTCCACTATGGAATAGGAGTTTTCAGGCATTACAGAACAGATCCATAGGAACAAGAGATGCACAGTGCTTTTCCTAATCTTCTGTCTCGCTTTGTGTCAGCACATCTCCCACAACATCGGGAAGACACTGCTGAAATCCACAGAGCCTATTCTTAATACAGTTTCTTAATAGAGGCAGGCCAGCTGGCTTCCAGTCCTCTCTCCTCAGAAATGAGAGAACTGTGTTTGATTCTAGAAACCAAATCTGGAACTAACACCATATGCAACTGCAGTGACACCCAGCCCCAAAACCAGCTGCATTGCAAAGGCATCTGCAGGAAGTTCTCATGACACTCAGTGCCTCTTTAGCAAATGCAGGAGTTGTGGCTTTGAGGTTCCAGAAAAGTCATGCTGTGGTTTGTCACAGCTCTCGTAATTTTCCTGGATAAAACTGTTGTACCAGGGCCTGGCGTATCTGATGAAATGCAGAAGGGAAGAATTGCTCTGGGATTTGACAAGGATACAAGAAGTCCCAAGAGAAAATTAAATCTCACTTGGCAGTCTGAGTGATTTCTGCCCTTCCCTGTCAGTGACTGGACACAAGTGCACTGCCCAGGTCAGGCTGCTTATTCAGAAGAGCAGAGGGGGGTGAAGTGCAATTCAACAGTAAACTCTGCTTATTCCATATCCAGCTTTCAAAGGGACTCTGCCACTCTTTGGTAACCGTACCTGCTCGAACTTCCATCCGTCGGACATGGTGGACACCATCTGTGTGAGTTCTTCCTCTTGGCACTGCAGGACTCTGTACACGTGCTTCACAGGTCCCTAGAGCACGGGGAGTAATTGCTGTAGTTTAGTAATTACTGTACTATCAAGCCAGAAGTTCATAAGCTTCTCCTGCTCTTGTCTTACTGAGGAATTGAGAGCCCCACAGGCTTTCTGAGGTTTCATCCCACCGATTTCAAAGCAGACACATTTGGCTGGCACACTTCTCTTAAAAGCCTTCTAGGTGTCTAAGGGCCAGGGAAAGCAAATCTTCTTTGGCTTTCAAAGCCAATTGCTGCTTTTTGAAAACATTTCTGAAATTGAATCTACTGGGTGTGTTAATATCAGCTGAGCATCAACGGCAAAACTGCAACAGGGAGACAGATTTAAAGGGAAAAAATGGTTTAGAGAAGGAAGAGTTTGAGCTGTTCTTTACCAAAGCAGTATGTTTTGCTTTATAACCACCCATCTCTGTCCTGGCCCCTCCTGTGTAACTGTCCCTTGCCTTTCCCTACACTGCTATGAGATGACTCAGTGGTCTGTGCTTTAAAAAACCATAATGGACACTCTTTCCTAGCCATGCCTGGATCCACCTCACAGCTCTTATCCCCCTGTTACTGCTGAACCAAAGAGCTGCTACTGCAGGGTCTGCAGCCACACTTGTCTTTCTGTGCTCCAGACCTGACTGACTCCACAACCCCACTGTGCATTACTTGAGAGGTCCTGTTCTCGTTGTCCCGTATCCGCTCCTTCACCAGCCGCACAAGGGACGCGATGTTGTAAAACTCGGCTTCTTCCAGCACCCCTGGGAGAGGAACCCAAAGCAGAGACAAATTCTGTTACTTTGCACAGGGTAGAATGGAGATGATTCTGCTACAAGGATGGCAACACCTGCTCCCGACTCCAAATCCAGCTGAGATGTGAGAATCCCAAATGCTGAACAGGCTGTGCCAGCCATCTCCTGCTCCCAGGCTGGGAGAAAATGCCTGACTAGCTGTCACCTCCCTTTGTGACTTAGAGGATCTTTAAGAAAAATTATTCCCCTTTCCCTGGGATTGTCAGAATCCTCGTGGTACAGGATTTTATTCACCCAGTCCCATTAAGGGAAAGCCCCTGGAGCTGCCTGCTCGGGGAGAACCACAATCTGTGAGAGGGAGATGGGCTGTGATGGGCTCAGCAGGACAGTGCCAGGGTGTGCTGTGAGCTGCAGCTTCTGGGAAGACAGGGGATCTGATGGTTCAATCCCTGTTAATGAGCAATTAACAGTACTAACTTACAGCATCCCTGGGGAACGTGGTCGCTCACCCCTCGGCAGGGCAGGAACCCTGTGCACTGGGGGTGGTCTCTAGTGAGGGCTCTTGGATGAGCTGTACAAAAGCATTTGCAGTTTTTCCTGATGTTTTTCTCTTACCTTCCTCTGCAAGCTCCTTGTTTATGATGAGCTTCCCGTGCCGGAGGTAGTTCAGTATCGGGCCAAAGTACGTGGGGTCTCTGTCGATGAGATACGCCCCTGTCTCATCCTGAGGAACAAAGGGAGGGTTCAGTGGTACCAGGACAAATTAACTCAGCTTCCCTTTGAGGACCTGGATTCATCTGCCTGTGGGAGGTGTAGCAATGATGCCACATTTAAACCAACGTTTTTCTTTTTCAATATCTGAACTACTAATGTCACAGCTCAGCAGCTCTGGGAGATGCCTCGCACGAAGCACCTGTGCAGACAGGGCTGGTACACCCAGACAGAAAAGGAGGGCTTAGTTTTTTCTTCACTGCAATAATAAGAACCAAAAGCTCGCAGCTGTGTTCTGCCTAAATTTGTTCTCCAGCCTGGTTTAACCCGGGGGGCTCTGGAGGAAACGGGATCTCCAGTTCCAACTAAGGGCACCTGACAGCTGAAGTACTTCAATTTTTAATTTCCACTCTGCAAACACACACTGCAAAGCTCCAGCCACGTCTCCAGCAACACAACAACTACTGGCATTAAATAACCCACAATTCACAGCCAAAAGCATCTCTTGAGCAGCTCTGAAGCACTGACAGACTCTGTGCAGAACTCATATCCCTCTCTTAGATCACTGTAAACCAATGTTTCTCCTGCCAATCTGCTCTAAAGCAACAACTGTGCAAACCCACTCTGAAATGTCACCTCCTCTCCTCAATGATGCTGCTGATTGTGATCAAACTATCGGGAGATATCTTTTGATTGAACTCTGAATGGAGCAGCAACAGACCTGACTAATTCAGTCTGACCCACCCACGACATATTTACAACATTTTGTGTAGCGGATCCTGGGGAAAATCTTCAAATTACAGGAATAACAGCTTGTAAAATCCTTCTGACAAACTGCAGCAACCTCAAAACTATCCAGGAACATGCACCGTGATCTTTTATGGGAGCAAAGTGAAATACATTCAAAAAAGAACCACAAACATGCTCAGGGTGAGAAACCATAAAATCCCTGTTTCTGTAACCACTGTTACAGTGGGAAGCAGCAACACTGTGGGAAGCTGCTGGCTGGAGTCACCGTGGGAGGTGGAGGGATGGGAGCCTGCGAAACCTGCGTGTCACAGGCACGAGGGTGACGAGGATTTTGGGGATGCCACAAGCTTCATGACCGCGGAATGCGAGGGACAAGCAGATGGTGTGTGACAGAGTGACGTGTGGGACCGGGGGGCTGCTGTGCAGATGGGCCCATCCACACGGCGGGATCCAGACCCACACGGCCCCGGGGGCGCTGCCCCGGGTGACACCGGCGGCCAGGGGTGTCACCTCGCCCGTGGGACGGTGACACTGGAGGCCGTGGCGGGTCGAGGAGGGGCTGTCCCGGTGTCACTGCCGCGGCCTCACCTTGTCGGAGCCGAGCTCGGGCCCGTCCTGGCAGCAGAGGCGGCACAGGAAGGACTTGGGCTCCCGGCACAGCGTCTGCCGGGTGCTCACGAAGTACGTGCCGCCCACGTTCAGCCGCACCCACTTGGAGGCGGCAGCGGTGGCGTCGGCGGCGGGCGGGTTCGGCGCCCCTGCGGGCCCGGCCGCGCGCGGGCTGGGCGGCCCCGGGGCTCCCCCCGGGCCCGGGCTGGGCGTGCGGCCCCTCGGCGGCCCCTCGGCCATGGCGGAGCCTCAGCGCCCGCCCGGCGCCATCGCCGCGTCCGCTCACGACACTTCCGGGGGGGGCGCGGAGGGATTCCGGCGGGACCGCGCGCTGATTGGGCGGCGGGGTGGGACGGGGGCGGGGCTTCCGGCGGCGCGCGCGGCGGGGTCGGACGGTGAAGGTGAGAGGGGGGACGAGGAAGAGGGAACCCGGTACTGCCGGGGAAACGGGAACGGAGGGAAAGGGGACCCGGCACCGCTGGGACTGCGAGGGGAACGGGAACGGGCAGGGCCTGCGGCTTGGGGGGCCGGTGAAGGTGGGGGGAGTGGGGAGCGGGGTGAGGTCGCGGCGGGGCTGAGGAGCGGCCCCAGTGTCCCCCGTGCCCCGATTACCCCGTGTCCTCATCCCCACCATGTCCCCATCCCGCTGTGTCCACCTTCCACGGTGTCCCAATCCCCTCCATGTCGCCATCCCCCGTGTCCCCAACCCCAGCCCCCGTCCTCATCCCCCAGTGTCCCCACTCCCTCTGTGTCCCGATCCCCCTCGTGTCCTCATCCCCACCATGTCCCCATCCCCAGTGTCCCCATTCACCCTATGTCCCGATCCCACCATGTCCCCACCCCCAGTGCCCGTCCCCATCCCCGATATCCCCATCCTCGGTATCCCCCCCGTCCCCGTTCCCACCGCCGTGTCCCTGCCCAGGTCTCACCATGGCGGGTCGCAGAGCTGCGCTCAAGGCCGTGGACTGGGCGGCCTTCGCCGAGCGGGTCCCCCCGAACCAGCGGCCCATGTACAACGCGCTCAAGACCCGCAGCGATGCCCTGACGGCCCGGTGAGTGCCCGCCCGGCCTCGGGAGAGCCCGCCCTGCTCCTCCCGGGCTGCACAGCCCCCGGTGTGAGTTCTGGGACTGACGCTGTCTGTGGTCCCGCAGGAGCGTGCCGGCAGGTATTAAAACAGGTCACCTTGAGGCAGCTGGTGGCTTTTTTTGGCAAATCATCTTTAGTTAATCTTCCCCAGGGTAAACCCGTGGCTGCAGGTTTGCGAGAGTGCTTTGCTTTGGCATGTTTAGGACATTTTAGGAGCTTTGTTATTCTGTTAAGTGCTGTACAGATTCACGTGCAGTTTTCAAATCCTTAGTTTTCAAATCCTTCAGCGTCCACTGCCTGATACAGGTGACTACTGCAGTTGATGTTGCTGATTGCCTGAGGCTCAGTGTTGTGAAACTGCCCCCTCTTTCCTTCAGGGAGCTTCAGAGGTGCTAAGTGAAGCAGGGCAGAGCAGCAGGCTGAGCTGTCTGTCCAAAGAAGCCTGTTCCAAGGGCAGAGGGACTTGCAGAAATGGCTTGTTGATGGCAAACCCAAAAATATTTAAACTCAGCAGGCTCTGCTGGCCTTCAGGTCACTGCTCATGTCTGTTGTCCTCCATCCCTTCAGGTTGGCAGCGCTGCCAGAGAAGCCCCCAGCCATCGACTGGGCTTTCTACAAGGCTAATGTTGCCAAGGCTGGCATGGTGGATGAGTTTCAGAAGAAGGTCAGTCTCTTTGCCAGCTGGAGCAACCTCTCTAGTGGTTTCATTGGATGGTGTTGAGAGGAAAACACCAGGATTGGCAGAAGAAGTTGGTTTTGTCACTGTGAAAATTTGCCTTCCAAGACTGGGAGCACCCGCTGACCTCAGATAGGTCTGAGAGCTTTGTCCTGCGGGAAAGAAGTCTGTGATAGGAAAAATCTTTGGTGTTAGACCTTCCTGCTTCCTTACAGTGCTGTGCTGAATGCGTGGTGTTGGGTGTCACAGGGGTGGTGGGCAGGACAGAGGAGAAGGCTGGAAGCTCCTGGATGAGCAGTGCTGCTTGGGAGGGTCATGGGACAGCTGCACTGATCAGCTTTAGCTCATTAACCTACATGGTTGTGGACAAATCCTGGGAAGAAAGGAGGGAATGCTGCATATTCTTGGTGTGAATGGTTATTTCAATCAAACAAACCTTATAAAAGCTTCTCTTTCAATTTACAGTTCAGCGCACTGAAGGTTCCTGAGCCAGTGGATACCCAAAGTGCCAAGATCGATGCCCAGGAGAAGGAAGCTGTAAGTGTTTGAACCATTCCCTAGTGCTGGGGTTTACTCTGCCTTCTGTGAGGGTGGGAAGGGATGTCCTGGATGTGCCTTCACGGGCACAGCCTGAGCCAGAGCACAGCTCTGCCCTTCACTGGTGTCTGTCTCTGGCTTTTGGCTTAACAAGGGCATCTCCGCACAGGGAAGGGTTTGGCTGTTTGGGATTTGACTGATTCTCTCACCCAGTGTATTGATGGTGGATTTTAATGCCAGTTTAAAGCACGAGGGTGCAGGTTCACTCTGGGTCACTGTCATCATCACAGCCACATTCACCATATCCTCTGCTTTCCTCAGGCCAAGAGCAGTGCTGAGTATGTTCAGGCTTCCAAAGCTCGGATTGCCCAGTATGAGCAACAGGTGAGGCTGGACTTTCCTGGAGGAATATTGTCTGTAACCCACCCTGGCACACCCCTTGTTCTCACCTGTGTGTGCTCTGCTCCTTCTTGCTGAGCAGTGACTTGTAACATGCCTGTCTCTGCTTCCACTGCAGCTCCAGAAGCTCAAGAGCATGATTCCCTTTGAGCAGATGACGTTTGAAGACTTGCATGAAGCCTTCCCTGAAACCAAACTGGACAAGGAGAAATACCCATACTGGCCCCACAAGCCCATTGCTGATCTGTAAACCGGTCTGGGAGCTGTTCAACACTGTCAGACTCGATGATCTTATAAATAAAGAGCTTTCCCTCCTGTCTGTGGCTTAGGTCTTAGACATGAGTTTTGAGAAATGTGGAGCAATACAACAACTTGCAAATATCCCACTTTTCCTCAATTTTTTCTTTTCTGTGAGCTTGCTTTTGTAGCAAGGACCAAGATCCCACCTTTACCTGCTCGTCAAACCGAGTCTTGTCACATCCTCTGTAAGGCAAATAAACCCTCTGTCCCTCTGTGTAACCACAGGGAATGGAGTTCTCCTGGCCTTGCAAGCAGACAGTTGCTTAGAAGTTGAATGGGAGAAGCTTTTTGGGATGCTGGAGTGTGTTTAGCAGTGATCTGTGTTTGTCTGGAGTGTCTCAGGAGTTCTACAGGCAGACGTATAGGACTGTTTTCTAGGCTGGTTGTGATTGTTTGGGAGAAGCCATTTGCACCAGGAGTTGAAGGAGTGTTGTTATGCTCAGATGCATATTAAAAAAGTTATCTTTTAGTTACTTTTTAAAAACATTTAATCCTGGTGATCTTATTATTCTCTCTGTTGTGAGAATTCTCTCTGTTTTCTGAATGCTGCTGATCTCACTGGAACTCACAGAAACAATAGTACAAGCACTTCAGACTTACATTGTTTTATTTAATTCTCTGAGGTGGAATTCTTGAACACCTTTCCCCAAAACGTAAGTATCTCAAAGAGCAGGGAATCAACTGCCTTTCCTGTTGGTCACATTTGAGGTAAGAATTATAGATGGGTAGAGTGAAGGTGTTACCCCAGATTTCACAGTTGTTTTGTTCAAATACCTTGCTAGCCCACAGTAGGAACATCTGTAGTTCTACTGAAGCAGAGTACAAAGCACTACAAATGCAGATCTCAGGCCTTGTGGGTTTGGGTTTCAATTTTATTTAGGCAACTGAAACAACTGCAGCTCTGTGATTCAAGCAAGAACAAACTACAGCAGAGGGGTCAGAAGTGATACAGTGGGGAACAACTGAACTAGCACTGCACAGAGCTGGCCTTTAGCTGCTCCATTTTACAAAAATAAGAGTAAAAAAAAACAGAGACAGGACGAAGTGGCTGTAGAGAAGGACCTTCTCCAGAACTGGCATAAACGAGTTCTGCTCCTGTGGTCGCCAGTGGCCCTTGGCAGGTTGCCCTCCTCCCTGGGCCTTCTTGGGAGGGTTTAGATGCTGGAGATCTTCCTTGGCCAGGTGTGTCACGGGCTGGTTGCGCAGGGGTGTCTTGGCCAGCTCGGCACCCACGTCTGCAGGGAGCAAAGAGCAGTGTCAGCACAGGGGGGCTGGTGGGGCCACCACAGCTGGGCTCTGAGCAAACCCACCCTGGCTCAAACAAACCTGCAGTGAAATGCACCAAACCTGCTTTGTTAAAGAGGTTCTGGGTTGTTTTACGTCGCTGGAGTCTTCTGAGAACCTTGTCCAAGGGCCGGGATTTGCGCTGCTGGTACAGCAGGAAGAAGCTGTCTAACACAGCCATGATCATGAGCAGGAAGGTGCCCAGGAAGAACAGCACTGCAGAACAGCAGGAAAACAAGAGAAAGCCCTGGATAATTGGCATTTTCTTACGTAATCCTGTCTGCTTCAGTTGCCTGGGGAATGGGTGGGGAATGAGGAAGGTCTAACTCCAGAAGCTGATAAACCCTTAGCTGTCCATGACTGCAGTGTTCATAAATGTGTCTATAAACACCCTTCCTTAGGGCAAGTACCTGTATAAAAACCAGTTTTGATTTGATAAAGATGGGTACCTATTACAGGTGGTTTGTTGGAGGAAGTTGGGAGGCTGTTGTTAAGGATCACAGCCAGCATGGAGCTGCCAAGGATGATGGCGATCTGGAAGTTGATTTTCTCCTCGAGAGAGCTGGGTCCAAACAACACAGCCATGTCCATCAGGTACAGGGCACACGTTGGGAGGATCAGGTTCAGAATGTACAGAGTGGGTCGCCTCTTAATGGAAATCTGTTGAAGAAGATGGGCAAAATTTAGGTGAGCAGGAGGTAACTTACTGTGTTGGCAAATGGTGGTTCCCTAATGTAAAAAATTGTCTTTTTCTTTTTTTGTGGGAAATCAGTGCAATATGATACAAAAATGCTGCCATACCATGTAGGTGATCACAGAAAATCCTCCGTCATCCATAATTTCCGTGCGTTCAACGATGCTCAGATTGGTGAACTTCCATTCTCCATCAGTTAGGAAGAAACTCTGGCTGTCTTTCATGCTCTCAGACGCTGTCCGTCTTGTCTTCATGACAAGGTCTGTTACTGCTTGGGCAGGAGCAGAGGAGGAGAGAAG